TGTCTCTCTCTCTCTCTCTCTCTCTCTCTCTCTCTCTCTCTCTCTCTTTCTCTTTCTCTCTCTCTTTCTTTTTCTCTTTCTCCCCCTTTCCTCTCTCTCTCTCTTTCATTCACACACACGCGCGTGCACACACACACAAACACACACACACACACAAACATACATCCTTCGCTCCTTCTCTCCTTCCTCCCTCCCTCCCTCCCTGCGACTCACCTTCTGGTTGTGATAGAACTCGTCCAGGTCCTCCAGTGGTTTGCCCACGTACTCGCGTGGGTAGTCCTCCAGGGAGGGTGGTAACTTACGGCCCGCCTCCAACTTTGGGTTAGGCTTGAGGTTTTCCTCATGGTGGCTCGGCTCATCCAACTCCTCATCATCGTCGTCCGACTCCGGGGGAGCCTTCTCCGCATGCTGGAGGGTTAAAGAAAAGAGATATGTGAGTGTGAGGCGTCGTGAGGCGACCATTTCCTCGCTAATTTTATCCCTCAAACCAGACAACCCTGGTCTCCTTCAGTCGCAAATATGTCGACTTCTATAAAACATTCAACATAGATGAATTTGTTTTTCACCAAAAAAAAGTTTAAAAAACACAAAAAACAGGCTTTAAGATGACACCAATAGCCCCATATGCACTATGTACAGAAATTGACGAGCGCCTGATTCCACCACGCCATGACACATATGTGAGGTGTCGAGCGCGGTGAAATCAGGTGCTCGTCAAAATAATGAAATCCAAAGAACCAACATTTTGGCTCGACACCTTTTAAGTCAATTCTAAAACGCATTTCTCAGTGGATTTTTAAAACTGAAAATCGTTGACTAAAGGCACACAAAAATGTACATTTTTAGTTTCCAAGGACATTCAAGCTATGGAAATCCCTAAACTTTAGAAGCTGTTTTCTCATTAATCTACTTCTAAAACTAGGCAACCCTAATCTCCTTCAATCGCAAATATCTCGACTTCTAATCAAGATAGATGGGGGGGGTTTTTCATCGAAAGCAAGACAAATAAACATGCCTTAAGATAATATCAATACCCCTGCATGCAAACAATTGAGTCATAAATGCTGAGCTCCATAGTGGAATAGCATTACTTTAGAGTGCATAGTCTGGTAATACACATCAAAGTAAGAACAAACCCCTAACTTGCTGGCGTCTTTGTAGGAAATAGCCTCGTTTCGCACTATAACAAAATAGTTGGCCAACAAATGTGTCGGCTTGCTGATGAAAATACAAGAACCCTACCTCATCAAGATAGTATAACTATTAAGATTTAGTGGTGTTTCTCTTACAGACTTCTTCATAAGTTAAGGACCACTTGCAAACACTCTGAGTGGTCTTCTTGGGTCGTCCTGCACTTGGGCGTTCTTGGATTGATTCAGTGGCGTGATGGTGCTGCCTCAAGCGGGCAATAGCAAAGTGCGATACTGCAAGCCTTTGGCAACTTCTTTGGCTCCAACTTCATCCTGTAGCCATGCCATAGCTCTGGCACGATCAAAGTCTCTCAGCTTTCGTCTTGGTGGTATGTGAGCACAGTTCGAGACCGTACGTCAATTTATGACGTGCACCAGACATTTAAATTGAGGAATGTCCGTGGTGTCACACACAAGTCGATAAAAAACAGCAAATTTGGCTAAAATTCCTCGAGGATTTCCGTGCTGCATGTGGTGGTTTTGGTCCTTTAGGAGGCTTTGCAGTACGCATTGGTAACCCATTAACACTTTCAGAGCAAACATTTTGAAACAGCCCTTACTGTCTTTTTCGGATTAAAAAAAAATCAGGACTGTGTGTCAAGGTGGTCCTTAACTTTGTTGAAGTCTGTATTTTCATTGTCCACAACTCACTCATTGTTTTGTCAGTCGTAGTGAGGTACGGGCGTATAATCTAAGCCTGTGCATTAAACACGCCTGTGAAGATATTATTTTTATTATTATAGCGCACTGGACACTCATTTTACAAAGATGACGCAAGTTGTGTCCAAAAAAAGTAGGAACAAAGCCTGTTCTAAGAGAAAATTTTTTAAAAAAGAAATGAAGCAAAACGATTTTATCAGCGCTGTTAGTGTTATCGACATCCATAGAACTGCGCTTGGAATACCGAGGACACTTTTTCAAAGAGTAAACCGTCGTATAGTGCGTACACTATTTTGAAGTAATGGCCCCTGCCTTGCACATACAACAGATGAGGGAAAGATAATACTATTCTACTTCGAGACTCCACCTTTCGGCTATTGGTATGATGCTACGTATAAAAGAAACCACTGGTTAGCTGTGGCAGACAAGGACGAGAACAAACAAGCTTCCTTAAATGGTTTTAGTTCAGTTTTAGTTGAGGTTTTACGGCGCTCGCAACTGCATAAGGTCATATGAGCGCCAGAAGATTAGAGGTGTTACAAGAGAGTAACAAACATAAAAAAGAAGAAGGGGAGTCACGGACGATAGATGTTTGATAGGAAAGAAGAGGCAAACCACACCAGATCACCCGCCAACCACCAACTTAAATG